TGGAGCAGCTGTCACATCAGACACTGTTAGTGAGGAGGTGACAACCCACTCAGCCCCACCAGTAAATCTAGTGTTGATGTGGCATCTTTGACTGACACTTAACTTAGATGAACTACCAGACAATGTCAGTAGCAATTGTAGCTCCACCACAACATTAAGGAATAGACATCATTGTCATAAGAACATGTTTTAGGCATAACATGCTTGCTCCCCAATCTTGATGAGATTTTGCCCATCCTGTTTAGAGGCTATTTAGGTATGCTGGTATTCAATAAGAATGATTTGCCTCTTTCCATCTTGTGATAGAAGATGGAAGTTCTCTTTCACTGTATAAGTCTTTATATTTCATTTCTGTCTTTAAGTTTCTTACCCTTTCATAGAAATATTTATCATTTTGATTAGAAATCAGGCATGCATTTTAATTTAATTTTTATGGAAGAGATTTTTGAAAACATGTTTCCTGCAGTTCAGCACCTTTACTGCTCTCTGTAATCAAATTTCTATTTTGACTTCACAGAGGGCTCTTTATTTACAAGTAAACATTCCAATTAATGAAAATATTTGGATTTACCAAGACAGTAAGGAACCAGAAGAAAGTAGTCATCAATGCCAGCCTTGATGACAACGATGTTCCTTTCTTTTTGTATTACAAAACTGACAGAAGAGAAAGAAACCTGTTAATTAAATTACTGTAAATTTTGGGGTGAATTTTTGTTTATTTCTTTTTTTTTTTTTCCTAGGGAGAATAAAGGGAAAGAAGAAAGCTAATGGCTTTACATCAGGGACAATATGAAAAATGTAGACATTTACAAATCAATACAGAAGGTTTATGAAAGACTTACTGGAAAATGTGGAGCTAAATACTTTCTTTCTAAATAATTTATATAAGCAACACAAATATTGGAGGTGCACAACTAGAAATAGTCTGTTGGAAAGGCATAAAAAATTTTAGTCAGTCACAGACTGACAGACATCCTTCAAGTGAAAACAGAACTGCCAAGTACACAAATACTAACCAAGAGCTATAAGATATTTTCTTCTTATATTCTGAGAATGTTAAATTTTCTGTCACAGAAGGTTCCTGGAACTCAATAAATACCTTCACCCACATTCAGAATTCCTTAGTTGGGAGGAATTTTGTACAATGATTAGAACGGAAGGCTAATATATCCATCTGTCTCTGTAAAATATACGCTCCTGGTTCACCTATTGGAGTTGTTTATAAAGTTGATTTATGGAAATCCTTAAAGAAGAGTCTGTCAGAACTTCATGGCCCTGAAGTTGTAGGGGGTTTTCCATGTTTTCTCCATTGTAGGCTGAAAAAAAATCTCTTCTGTTCCCTAAGATCATTAAGTTCCTTCACCCAAGTTAACATTTACAAGTAAAAGGCAGAGAAATCCTTCACCTAGAGTAATCAGCCACAGACACAAGTTTTTCAAAGGGACCTGAAGATCTCCAGCGTTCAGAAGCAAAGCTGCTTCTGCTTCCCACAGCATCTTCACCCTGCAGCGCTGCACTCCAGAATAGAACACGTGAGCAAAAGCAAACAGCCCAAATCATTGTGTTATTGCCACCTCCCAACAAAAAAAAAAAAAAAAAAATACTGGTTATCTAAAAAAATATGTCTTAAAGAATCTTTCTAAAGTTTTCAAAGTCTTTATCTACAAAATAAATAACTGCTTAGCTGCAACTAAATTAGCCTAAATAGCAATGCACTAAGCAACGAAAGGGAGCGATTTGTTGTTATCCCTGTCCAGAAAAAAATAAAAAGGCTGTTGAACATATGCTTCATTTTAAACACAGATGGAATTAAGCATGTGCTTCAATCCTTTTCTGAGTCAGAACAAAAAACTGAAAACCATAGCTGTGTAATACTTTGCCATGTTACAGTAGAATCAACTAAAATGTTGCCATCATATTCTTTCATATGATTTCAATATCCTGCTTGAGTTGGACAAGATGACCTCCAGAGGTCCCTTTCAACCTCAGCCACTCTGTGATGCTGTGAATACTGTAGATGAAAGCATGTTTCAGTTTTATACTTATTCATAACATAAGCAATATAAAGCATTGTCATTGTTTACGTAAATAGTCACAAAATTACCAAAAGGCAAACGTGTCATTTGGATCATTCATTTTTCTTTATTGAGCTTTGATGAAAACCAGTCCATTTGAAATATTTCCAGCAACCATTTCAATTCCAAATGCTCAACACAAAAACTTGGTATCAGAGTTCAAACATATAAAGTTACATCTCATTATAATTTAATATTTAACAAAGCTAATCATTTTTGATTTTTCATAATTAAGTTTACAAAAATAATGTTACATTTATAAAATAAATCAGCTTTTCCCAATAAATTACAGTGATGTCCTTATTCAAAAAGGTAATATATCGTACAAAATAGATAACAACTTTTTGTCAGATAAAATACTAAAGTATATTTTTCATCCAGTACATTTTGGCAGTGTGTGAAAACATTCATTGTACACTTGATATCTAAAGTACAGTGTGAAAACTAAACCCATTAAGCTCTTATGCACATTGCTTATATAAGGCAAGCATGGCCAACGTGGGGACTACTTTTTATTTCCAGTTAAATGTTTTTAGTCAGACCAATACTGCTACGTTTATGCAACTGACAATTAATCTGACCCAGTAAAGTCATGCAGATCCAGCTTGAGCCAAACACTTTTTCTATGACAAGTAGTGACCCCCATCAGTCAACTTTTGTGCTGCTCAGTATCTCGCACTCATGCTTTACCTTCGTGTTTCCTCACAACGCGTTGGTGGCCAACTTGTAAAAGTAGCACAGTCCGGATCACCCTAAAGTTAATGGCAAAACTTTGGTACTTTATCCTGTCATAAAAGCTCATACTAAAAGGGACTTGTAAAAAGAGCAATGCACTGATAAAAAATAAACAGTAACCAGCAAAAAGAAAAACACTCTAAAAAGCAAAAGGTAAACATTAAGAGCTATTGTATGCAGACTTTACAAAAGCAACTGCTTTAAAATAACATACAGCATCTACTTGGTGGTAAGTGTGTTGTCATTAAAACCTGTTGAATGTTCAGGTCAGCTCAGCATTCACTGTATTGCATTTCCTGCCTGCAAAAATGTTTCTGAAGAATCATATCAGTTTGTTTGAGCAACTTTTAAAAGCCAGAGGTTTAATTACACCATCTTTGGATGCTGTGATTAATGCAGGTGTCTGGTTCAGGATGATCAACATCTCACCTTGCAGAATTTCTGACTCCACTATGTTTTCTCTTCACAATAGTTCAGCAAACTGCATTATTTTATTCTCTCTTTTTATTCTGTTTCTCTCTTACATAACTTCTGGGAAGAAAGTCTACTTTAAAGTACTAAAGGAAAATCATTGTTGTCTGGAATAAATAAAATGTGCAAAGTGGTGATTTTCTTATGACGTCAGTATTGTATGAAAAACAGATCACTTTATATGTCATAACAGATCATTTTCACAAATTGTAACTGAGTGAGTATATGCCCAAGTCAGCATGTGTCACAAGGTCCCCTTTGTGCAAATCCACAGAGGGTCCAAATCCAGATGGGTTATTATAGACTCCAGACACAAAACTTAGTCAATGTTGGATCCCCCCAGACTGGAAAGGAAGGAAGAAGAGGAGGAGAAGGGGGTTCATCACAGTAAGTCAATTCATCCCAAGCTTCTGAAAACTCTCAAAAATCCAGAGAATGAATATCTGGTGCGCTGGCTATCTTCTAGCTTGAAATACCATGGCTCAAACCAGGAATATCCGGAACTGAACTCAGGCACGTTTGCTGCTTGCGTTAGTAAGCCATACCTCTCCAGAGCCAGAGCTACTATATAAGTACAGCTACTCTGTAGGTGAAGTTTAGAGTGATTGCCGAAACATGCATTCACCAACCAGTTAGGCAAATAAACACAATAGCTACATTTACACTAGTAAATCAAACAGTACAAAGTCTATATTCCAGCCCTGAGGTCAAGTCACACGGTCTGGCCATATTCCTAGTTACACTCTGTGCGCCCCTAAAGTGAGGTGGCCATATCCAAAGCACCTAGTGAAAAGTGTTCTAGACTGACCTAATTCCCAGAATGTGCCCAGAAATTGTTTGGGAGAGTACTGGTTAGTCCTTACCAAAAAGCATACCAGTCACTGTTCTAATAATTTAGCAATATAAATGCCTGCACCCACACCTCAGCACTGTCCAATTGACTGATACAGACATTACTGTGTATGTAGATTATAAAAAGTCCTCAAACATATTTGCACATGGCAGGCCCTCTGATTCATACAAATAGATAAGCATGGAGGGTTCAACTCTTGTGTTGAATGTTTACTTGAAAGAGATGGTTCTTTCAGATCAGGATTTATCTTTAAATTAATTACATATTTATGTCCATTATTTTCTCCTTTTTATTTAATACATGTGTTTTGTTTGGTAGCCTACTGTTTTACTATTGAAGGAATCTTGGCTTTTGTTTGATTAACCCACTTTTTCATGCCTACAATTCACAGCTAAACAAGCACTAACCAGTTCCGTCACAATGAAAAAATATATACACATCTAAAACAATAATATTAAGACAACAACTAAAACAGGAAATAAAAAATTAATCTGTGCAGTTAAAAGATCTAAAAATAGTATCAACCTCTATACATATTTTTCAGACTGCAGTGTCCACAGTTACAGTTGTAAGTGGCAGTCAGAACAGTGAGTATTACTTTCCAAATCATGAGGTGTTTTAAGAAACACCGACAGTAGTGGCTGCTGAGGAAATAATTGCCTTTATCATCCTGAGATTTTAAATGTGCAAGTGTCCTACCAATTTATCTAGTGCATCAAAAGGAAGGAGGGAGGGAAGGAGGGAAGGAGGGAAGGAGGGAGGGAGGAAAAGGAGGAAGGAAGGATGGAAGGAAGGAAGGATGGAAGGATGGAAGGAAGGATGGAAGGATGGAAGGAAGCAAGGACGAGCAAGATAGAGAAACGTTATCACAATGGTTTTTGTTTCAAAATAGATTGCTGTGCAATGACTGAAGCCTGATTTGTAGACATTTTGTATTCTTGCCCAGAGCCTTGAGGAGGGGAAGGTAAAGGAGTTTCTGGAGTTGCTGAAAAAGAATGTAGAAAGAATTACGTATTTATATACCCTGCATACACGTATACCTACTACTGCCCCAAAAGGAAGTTCTGTTACATTTGGCATGCTAGGTAAATAGGATATTTTAACTATCAGAATTTTTAGTTTATTAAAAATTGTGCACGTGAAACCAATGATAGGTCAGAAAGGTGCTGAATTTTTAAAATTAGTTTAAATTCAGGTCAAAGTCTCGCACAACACTGTTTATATACATACATTTTTAATGCACAATTATTTTAATTTAAGAATGATGATGAAATAACTCTATGAGCAATGACAGGCCACCATTCTAATTAATATTTTTAACTGTAACAGTGAAATGTTATGACAGAAGGCTAACTTGCAATTACTTACAAATCTGTTCTGTATGTACAGGAGCAGACATTGAACTTATAAGGACAGTTTGGCCAGTTAATGGATCTTGGGCTAAGTGAGGATGTACTGGGTGATGCAGATGACTGGCATCATTAGAAGTACCTGCAAAAATAACATGAGCACATATCAATTCAAAAGAGCATGTTGTTGCTAGCGACTTACACTGCAATAATTACATTTCCGTAGAGCAAATATTTTGATTGGCAATTTGAATAATTGCATCTGGGTATTCATTAAACAATTTAACCAGACTTCAACCATATTAAGCACTGTGTTTATTTTCACTGTTTTGACTGCATTAACAGTGGATTTCATGAAATATTTGTAAAGATTCTTCCATCTGCCTAGGGAGTTGTATGTCTAGATACCCAGCAATGACTGAGAAGTACAGAGCACCATCTGAGGTTGTAGGACTGTAATAAGATGAGCAGCCAAAACAAGAAGGCTTTAGCTAACAGTCACTACTCAAAGCTCAGCCAGCAAAGTGCTTGCTTACATCATGATTCCCTCAATGTCCCAGTATGCTAAATTCAACATAATACAACATGGTAAATTTACCAAGTTGTTAGCTTACCTCCCAGTAACATTTCCTGAAGCAAACTGTCAATTTTAACAATTCCAAATAGTTTAACCAATTGTATTTGCTCAATCATTTGCCAAGTGATGCTCTGGAGTGTAGGCAGTAGAAGCAAAAGTTCTCCAAATCTTCCTCGGGAGTCATACTGTCGGTCATTAATATAATCCTCTAAACTGATTTGGACTTGGAACCGCATGTTCTTAATCTTCATTGGATTACTCAGGCCTTTTGCATCTTAAAAAGTGACAAAAACTTAAAGTCAAGGCAGATTATGATTTGGGAGGAGCATCTTACTTTTTTTCCATCTTACTTTCTTTCATTTTATTCTTTACCATCCAGCTAGATAACATGAGTAGATGATACATCAACAAAAATTACTTTCAATATAATCATGTTACGATAATTCTGAGAGATATTTTCAAAAAGGTACCTGGATCAAAAAACACAATTGCTTTCAAGCAAGCGTACTCATTGTCGTCTATTTGAATTTCCTGGAAGGGTCGAACTAGTTCATCTAGAATCCGATTTGCCACTCGGCTGATCTCTACTTCAGTACTGTTGCGATGGATTATGTAATTGTTGCCTTGGAGAGAAAGAATACCAACATATGGATTGATATAAAGGCTTCGATGTAACGTACTAGGTGTAGCCCATTTTCAAAAGCACCTTTTGCTTAATCAAATTGTTTAATTCTTTTTTTAAGTAATAGCTCTCCTTTGTATCATACAAAATCCTTCTCTGAAAGTAGAGTATATGTGCAAAATACAGCTGTCACCCAGTAAATAATCTGTGGAGGTAAATACGCCAATATGTACAGTTACTGATTAGTCCACAAGACTGAGGTCCACATTTGAATGCACAAGCATGGAGCAAGTAGGCCTTTATCTTTACAGAATAGATAAATATAATGGTAAACATCTCAAAATTTAATCTTCCGCCATTAAAATAATATATCCCAAGCTGAATGATCAGGATTTGCCAATGGAAAAAGAAGCCTTCTTCCAGAGGAGGCACCAGGAATATTTCTAACAGATGCTTCTGCTACTCTTAATAAAATTTAGAAGCATCTTAAAATTTTCAGTAAAGAATTAATTTTCCCGCTCTTTTAATTTTAATTTTTCATTTTGGGGAAGTCTCCATCATAGCATCTTAATTTACTTTCTGTCCAGAAATCATCTAACATAACTGGTGAGAACAGTGGGAAAGCCACAGAGCTTCCAGAAGCCACCAAGCAATTTTTGAAAGAAAAGCTGATGATTATATCACAAGAGATCCATGCCAAAATGACTCATAAGCTATACAGGTATCTACCTCCAAATATCAGAAATAAGCCTTGGAGCCTTAAATTGTTTCTCCTTTCAGTATATATGCTGATGTTGGTGATGTTGACTATAATTTTCAGCTTATTATTTTCTCATTATTTGTCTTTATTACCTACTAATCCCAATAAAACTGCAAATATTTCCTTTTCATTTCTGTTAATTTTGTCAGTAAAACTGTATCTAGAGTAAGAACTATGTTAACAAGATAATTTATATAGTTTTTAATTTGAAAGGATTGCTGGTTCGAGTAGTATCTCCAGAACAAGCCCTTCTTGTCCCTTTAATGTTATGATATGCCTAAAAATAAATTCAGTCTGATTAAGAGCAATGAAAAGGCAGGCCCAAAGAGGAAGGAGAACAAATAGCGGAAAACCCCCTTTACCACACCACCAGTGACGAAACTAGTTTGAGTCCATATTCCACATAGTCTTGCCTCACATTAAAAATCCTGTCCAAGACGACCTGCACATTTTCTCACAAAACAGCCCAAGCGCTGCATATGTTTAATGAGACCATTTTTGGCAAGGTGCACTTCACTGGCAGAGTACTGTGTCAAATAACACTAACAAATGCCTCATCACATCACATACACACAGGCACACATCTCATCATATTACTGTGCCTTCCTGTTGTGTGAATGAAGGTAAGACATGCTTCCATCACGCAACGATGTCCCCTTCCCTAACAGCCATGCTCTCTTTATATAACCTGGTGAAGGAACCATTTCAAGTGACCAAGCATATGCTTATGTAGGCATGAATCCTCACCAACCACGGATGCACCCGTCTCCCACGTGGCAGGGGAAAACAGGCATGCTGTTTACATGATGGCCACATGGTGATTGTCAAGGCAGCAGTGAGATGGCTCTTAGGACAGCCAGTTGCAGGGAACAGGCTATCCAGTTTTGTAGCCTGTATGGTCTTCTCTGACTATGTCTGAAGGGCTCTTACGAAAGCTCTAGATAAATGATTTTCATGAAGACTGAAATTAGTACATAGGCCATAGGCTGGCTGCTCCTCTCTTAAGCAAAGCTTTTTTGGTTTTGTTGTTGTTTTGTACTGGTTTTATGGGACAAAGGTGCAGAAAGGATGCTAATGTAAGGAGACAATTTTCCAGGAGCTCACTTAAGTTGTGGTTTCTGGTATCCAATAAACCCTTAGCTGTATTAACTCAAAGGAAACTATTCACCTGCTTTTGCTGGAACAGGGCATGTGACATTATGTCATTGACACGCCAGGAGGATGAGATGTCATCCAAAGGGACCTGGACAAGCTGGAGAGGTGGGCCTCTGTGAAACTCATGAGGTTCAACAAGGCCAAGTGCAAGGTCCTGCACCAGGGATGGGGCAATCCCCTGGTATCAATACAGGCTGGGGGATGAAGGGATTGAGAGCAGCCCTGCGGAGAGGGACTTGGGGGTACTGGTGGATGAAATATTGGACATGAGCCGGCAATGTGCGCTTGCAGCCCGGAAAGCCAACCAAATCCTGGGCTGCATCAAAAGAAGCGTGGCCAGCAGTTCGAGGGAGGCGCTTCTGCCCCTATGCACCTGGAGCACTGCGTCCAGCTCTGGGGCCCTCAGCACAAGAAGGACATGGACCTGTTGGAGCGGGTCCAGAGGAGGGCCACCAAAATGCTCCGAGGGCTGGAGCACCTCTCCTATGAGGCCAAGCTGAGAGAGTTGGGATTGTTCAGCCTGGAGAAGAGAAGGCTGCGAGGAGACCTTACTGTGGCCTTCCAGTACTTAAAGGGGACCTACAGGAAGGATGGGTGCAATCCTTTTAGCAAGGCCTGTTGTGACAGGACAAGGAATAATGGATTTAAACTAAAGAAGAATAGATTTAGACTAGACATAAGGAAGAAATTTTTTACAATGAGGGTGGTGAAGCACTGGAACAGGTTGCCCAGAGAGGTAGTGGAGGCCCCATCCCTGGCAACATTGAAGGTCAGGTTGGCTGGGGCTCTGAGCAACCTGATCTGGTTAAAGCTGTCCCTGCTCACTGCAGGGGGGTTGGGCTAGATGACCTCTAAAGGTCCCTTCCAACCCAAAGCATTCTATGATTCTATGATTCTATGATTTTATGATTAATAGCTATTTAGCATTCAGAAAATGCATTGCTTCAGCTGTGCCAGAACAGTTGTCCCACTTAAGTGATTACCTGGTTGCTAATGTACTATAACATTATCATTATTAATTAAAACAAAACCAATATTTACCTAAAAGTAAAATGTCCTTATAAGCCATGGATCGTTTTGCTGCTCCAAGCAACAGGTGTTCCCCAGCATGTGCTCTTAGCAGGGCAACCTCAAGAAAAAACAGCAGACTCATTAGAAGATAAAGCAGTAAGTTCCAATAAGGGCAGAAGAAATGAGGATGCATATTACCATGAGGGTATTCAGCTACAGGTACATGTTTAAGACTGTTAAGATTCTAATATAAAATGTAAACTGAATGTAAAAACCTTAACACTGTACTAACTGCACACTGTAATTAAATTGTCATCCTCTGTCACTTCTAGCATTTGGTCTAGATTTTAAGCATATGGCTCTGCAAAATACTTCTCAGTAAATACAAGACTTGCACTTATTTCCTAGAGCCTATTCCCTTAACAAGGTTTTCCCTGGAATTTTAAGTTGACACAAAAGATTCTGGTGGGCTAGAATGAACTGTTACAGTAAATTCAGCACTATCAGTGTTTCATTTTTCTCACGTGGAACCAAAACTTCATGTAGCACTTAAAAACCTTTTTTCCTCAACAAAGACAGATATGCTAAAATATCTACTACCGTCAACAAAGAAGAAACCTGATTCATACCAGGAAGGCACTTAAAAATGTGGTCATTAGTTTACTCTGTGTCACCTATTTACTTTCCTTTGTTTTCAATGTCAGCTTGAAACTTCAGTGTTGGCCTCTATTTCCTCAAGGAAGTCCTCTCTTGGTAAGTAATTCTTTTCTTGTGATTCCAAGCCAATACTTTATGAGTGATGTAAAGGTACACAACACCTAGGAATACTTCATGTGTTAAGACTTTTCAGGTTCTCAGTAGAGTTAACTTATCTGCTCTGCCCTGCTCTATGGTTTGTAAATTAGGCTGATTCCCAGAACAAAAATTATTTGTTCAAAACCAGATGGTGTATTTTATAACTAAATGCACAATGCCTCTTAGAAAGAGGCTATCACAAATGCAAAAGTGGCATTTGCTTTAACTCCCAATACCTTTTTCACTACTCTTCTAAGGTACTTAAGCTTCCTTAGTATTTTCCAATGTGTACTCTTCAAGCACTGCAGGGGTGTTTTCAGCCTATCTTTCTAAGCTAATTTTTTTTTTTTTAAATAGAGACAGGAACTTTTTAATGAGGTCTGATCCCTTCTCTGTTCCTTCATGCCATCTTAACAATAAAACCAGCAATATTTTTACTTGCTCTTGTTGCCGTTGTGTAACCAATGCATTTAAAATTCTCCTTTCACATGGATAGATTAACTTATTCCAGTATGTTGAGCTTGTGCACACATGTCATATTCTGTGAGTCTGCAAAGATATCATTAAGCTCCTATTCTGGGGGGGTCTCCTGTGCCCTGAATCACCTCCATATTCCTGAGGAAGAATATAAGAGGGAATGAGCTCAGTTTGAGTCTCAAACCCAAGGATGATCTAACCTTCCTTGCAGGATTTTGTTAAAAACTGAGAGACTGAAGAGGCAAAAAGGAGGAATTACTCAATTCCACTTCACAGAGTCATTTTCAAGCTGAATCAGATTTTGGTGAGCTGGAATCAAGAGAACCTGAGTCATGAATTAACCTCCTGCACAGGCGGCCAGTGAGAGAGCTTCTCACTGCAATGTGGAGACACTCGTTTTGAGTGTGCCAGCACAACTTACTCTGAAACCCAGTGGTATATTAGGATATATTACAGATGTGATGATAGATCAGACCTCTATCATAAAAACCCTTAAGAATTTTCAGGGTTTGATGCTTTTTTCCCCCACACTCGTTATATACAATATAATTTTAGTACGTTGTATTGTATGAAAGATTATTTGCTATGGATTGATATCAGTATGTTTGGCATTTGTTCAAGATTCTAATGGCTTTTATTTTTTGCAAGTAGAGACCTGTTTCAAATTAAATAACACACTGTCTTAAATCATATTATAATGAAAGGCGAACAAGAAATAAATACTCTTCAAGGTCAGAAAAAAGCATGACTTTTTTTTTACAAGATTTCTTTCATTTTTGCATGCAGCTTGGTATCTCTGCTTCCAAAAGAATACATAAGGCACAAAATACTGAAAGACATACTGGTTTGTTGCTTCTTTTTGTTAACATGCTAGAGCCTTATCAGTTTCCTCTATTTTTTTGTGGTGGTGTTATTTCAAAAACTAACAAAATTTTAAGATGGTGAGTCTAGCACCCAGCTCTGTTTGATCAGACAAAAAATGAATATTTAATCATAACATTTAAATATCACAGAAATAACAGGACAGTGATTAAAGTTCTCTCTTTGGTCTCCTCTAATACCTGGTCATCCAGTGGTAATTCACAGAAGCCTGGAATATATTTAGCCCATTCCACCAGGACCAAAAGTTGTTGCTTCATAGATTCACAGACATCACTAATACCAGCAATTTTCTTAACATTTATGTCAGTGCTAGCACCAGGACTGGAGACTGAAATCTGGCCATAGTGAGAGAAAAAATGAACAATGTTAAATTTCATATAATTGCATTTTCACTGGTTAAAAGCATAGCTAAGAAAAAATCGCAGCAGCAATCATGCATACTCTTCAGAAATTCCTTAACCATACAGACCATTAGTCTGCACGTAAATTATAAAATTTTATTTCTCATTATTACCAGTGTGTATTAAAGTATGTTAAAAATTACACTATTCATATCATGATACAATATCTTCTCATTCCAAACTACTATTTTAAAATACACCAGAGCTGTTATCATTTGTAGGGTGGAGGTGGGGTTTTTTTGTTCCTTTAAAATGGTTGACATTTACTTCATTTCAGAAAAAAAAAGAGCTCAGAGGGGCATGCAGTAACATTAAGGGTGAAGAGAGAGAGAGATAAAGGGGTAGCATGTTCTTCTAGTGCAAAGATAAGTATCATTAACTTTAGAAGGTAAAACGGGGGTTTTTTAGTGCCTGGAGGAGAATGGTTTGTAATGATGAAGCAACAGTATAGGCAGAGGCCTGAGACATTTCAGAGCAAATGTAAAGGATATGAGTGTGCATTAGACCACCTGCAGTGAACAGTGTTCTGTGAAATAAGAAGAGAGCAATATCTTTCTGGGCCTGAAGCTGGGGCACTTTCACATAATCACTGAGCCAAATCCTGAAATTCTTAATGACTTTTCAAGGAAAGGAACAAAACCAGGCTTGCTCTTAAGCCAGGCAGGAAAGACAACTTAAGATAAAACCAAGCCTGGGAAGAGATAGCTTTATAGCTGTTATCATACCAGGGAAGAAAAAGAAAGAGAAAAAGAAGAAAGAAAGAGAAAAAGAAGAAAGAAAGAGAAAAAGAAGAAAGAAAGAGAAAAAGAAGAAAGAAAGAGAAAAAGAAGAAAGAAAGAGAAAAAGAAGAAAAAGAAGACAAAGAAGAAAAGACAGACAAAGAAGAAAAGACAGACAAGAAAAAAAAAGAAGACAAAGAAGAAAAAGAAGACAAAGAAGAAAAGGCAGACAAGAAAAGGCAGACAAGAAAAGGCAGACAAGAAAAGGAAAAAAGGAAGAGGCAAAAAGGAAAAAAGGAAGAAAGGGAAAAAGGGAGAAACAGAGAAAGGGAGAAAGGGAAAAAAAAGGAAAAAAAGGGAAAAAGGGGGAAA